GTACGCGAAAGCTGTGTTTGTTTCTGTTTGATAAGCGGATCAGAATGAATGGCTTATTGAAGATGATACCGCTGGAGTTGTTTCATCTGAAAACAATGCGGCCTTCCGAACATTCTTTGATACCATATTTTACACACCCGCAAATGGCAATATTTTGATGCGTTTCGTCAGCGAACGAGTCCAGGCCAATCCCATAAAAATCTCTTTCGTTCATTTAGTGTAACAGACGGAGATCTTCTCTTTTATTTATTTTCTGCGTTCCAGCTGAAATTTTAAATTGGCCTTAGAGTGCAAGCATCTACTCTGTAAAGTAAGGTTCTTCAGTGCTTATCCTTATGTGGGCTGAACATATTTATAAACCCGATCACTAAAATCTTATTTAAAGTGCAAATGAAGTCAAAAAGTTAAAGAAAAAAGAAAGACAGGGGTTCTAACCATGCCTTTCTCTTTCCAAAACTATATGCAAAAGCTTTGGCTTTGGATACACTTCTACTAAGACTGTACTACAATATACAAAACATGAACTCCAACAAAATGAACATTTCCGTTGACCTAGCCGTTAACTTTTCATATTTCTGAAATGATTTAGCCATTGGATCTCCTACATTATCTTTCCTCCCCCTTTTTCAGGAGTTCATACAGAAAGTGTAGTTATATTACAGTTGTGCTCTCATGGGTATGATGCCATCCTCTGACCTTGTACGGGCCATGGTGGTTGGATGGAACTGGGAATCCCGGTTGGGTTATCCTCAAGATATGCAAAGCCAACATATATGATCCAGCTTACCTACAAATAAAATCTCAGCTTTGAAGTTGGTTTATTTGCTTGTCATGTCCCAGTTCTATGACCTAGAGAACCATCTGCCTGGATAGAAAAGATAAATGTGTATTTACATTTGAGAGGAAGGATCAGCCGTCTCCTCCATCAAACCTCTGGTAGTAAGTTGCATGTGTTTATATGAGAATACGTGAATTTGTTTGACAACCATAAACAATTTGTTTAATTAAACACTGTATCAAATTAGGGGGGTATCACTGCATATAGGGAGGGATGGTTTACTTTATTCATATGCAGGAAGTGATCCTGTTAAGTTCTCATTAGCGTGTGCTTGGTGATTTACTCAGAATGGGTGAGACTGTGACGGGCTTGATTTTGTTTTGTTTTTTTTCCGTTGGCGCTCATTCGTATTTGTGTGTTTTTTGAAATGTACATACTAGTCTGTATTTTCAGTAGGTGTGTTTAACCCTTTCATAGCCAGAGGTCACTGATGACTAGATGCCGAGGCAAAATTTTGCAGCATCAGCATTTGTCGGTTGAGTTGACCATAACTCTATGACTAATTTGCATTCCTGTATAATGTTCATATACAAGGACGTTCCTAGCATTTCTGCCACCTGAGGCATCGGTGGTGGGGTGGGGGTAGTTGGTACACGCTACCATTTATATATATTTAAAAAGACCAGGTCACCATTTTAAAAAGCACAGAGAAAATGTAACTTGTTTAAGTGCACTCTTGTGGCATTTTTCCTTCACATAAACAATTTTTTATTCATTTTCAATGTGCCTCTGGACCTGCTAGCAAATTTGACTACTCCGGAAAATGTTAGTACCCCAGCACATCCCCTTTCCCTCCTTGCATGTCATAGCCCTCTCCTCTTCTGGGAGTGTCTAATTATGTCTGTGCTGGCCCAGCTTCTCCTTTCCCCTCACCTACCTGCATAATTTTTAATGTAGCGAAGCGCAATACTATAGAGTGTCACTTGAGTGACATCTCTGTGTCTGATGGGGCTGCTGATATCAAATCCAAGATAGTGGCCCTAAACAGAAGCCTTAGGGCTTTTGGATGTCTTACTAAAGGCAAGGTCACAGGTAGAATTATTGTCCCCGGAATTGGGCTTTAATCAGTAGCGTTATGGTTCTAGCAAGGAGGAGGTGGGATGAGGAAGCTTAAAATGAAGGCCAATGTACAAAAGAGGAGCCTTTTAATTTCGATCCTACCATAAACAGGCTTGGGAAAAAGTATAGGAGGGAGTTATAAGAAATGAATGGTTAAGTATGGAGAATGGTTAGAAATGGAGATTTCCTTTTAAGGAGCTGCATGTCCCACCAATCCAATAAAAAAAAAGCTCTTGTTTGGAAACTACACATCCCATCAGGTTCTGCCATATAAGCATGATATAGCTGTCAGGAAGCTACCAAGCTCCAGGAAGGGGCAATAGGCTACACAAACTTGCATTTAACCATGGTTTCGGTCAGAATAGTTATTCAACATTAGCTGGTAAGTGTGACTGTGGGATCACATTAGCTTACATCAGTAATAAAAGTCGTTCCGTTAAATAGAAGGAAGCAGCGGGGCACAAAGTTTTTCACGCTGAGTAAAACTCGAGAAGCATTCAACTCTGAGAAAGGGAGTCTTGTTTGCAAGCACTTAAGCTGTTTTAACATGTAATCATTTACCTTTATAGCCCATGTTCTTTTAAATAATAATTATCCACTTTATTATTATACGGCATGTAGATTTTATGCCCGTCTCTATACTGTGTTTCTGACAATACACCTAACTTTCCAGAGGTATATGCGCCAAACAGTTTTAATCACAATTTAAAGAGTCAGTGCACGCAAAACTGCGGATTAAGCACTCACAAGCAGGGCCTTCCTTATCATTTTGTCTTGAATTGTATTGTAATTGTCATTTCTTCCTTATATTGTGAAGCGCTGCGCAAATGAATCCTGAATAATAATAATAATTAGGTATGCACCGAGTACGAGTACCGATATATTTTTTCCGGCACTCGACCGATACTGAATACCGAGTACCGGAAGTCCCATTCAGGAAGCCAGGCAGAGTGTAATGACTCGCCACCCGGCTTCCCGATTAGCAGGGAAGCCGCCCCCATGCTTCTCGTCGCTAGGTGACAAGAAAGCATGGAGCTGGCTTTCTGGCCAATCAGGAAGCCAGGCGATGTGTAATGATGCGGCGCCTGGCTGCATGATTGGCCGGGAAGCCGGCTCCATGCTCCCTCGTCATGAGGTGATGAGGGAGCATGAAGCCGACTCCCCGACCAATCAGAAAGCCGGGCGCCACGTCATTACACGATGCCTGGCTTCCTGATTGGCCAGCTTCCCACCAATCAGGAAGCCAGGCAGCGCGTCATTACACTCAGGAAGCCGTAATGACGCACTGCCCGACTTCCTGATACAGGAAGTATCAGGCTAGCCATCGGAGCATTTGGGCGAGTACGAGTACTCGGCATAAATACTGATACTAGTACCAGTATCGGTCCCTAGTAATAATAATTAGGAATGTCCAGATAGCAGTTCAGATATCAGAGCTGATACTTGGCATTTTCATGAGAACTAGCCGGGTTGCACCGGTTGCAGCTGGGACCTGGCTCTGGCACTCCACCACTGTCCTGAAATCATTAGTCTGTATTGTTTTAGAAAAACTGTCACATGACAATAAACAAAAATGTATCAGTACTTGTATCTGTAAGTACTTGGGCAAGTATCAGTACTTGTACTTGCAAAAAATAGTATCGGTGCATCACTTTTATATATTCATTAAAAAAAAGTCATGCATGGGGATACACAAATCCCAGGAGCTCTGTATGCTCCTTAAAAATGACAGGTGCCTCCTAACTTTTGAGTTTTTCTCGAGTCTAGTCTTGTAGCTGGAAAAGTATCTGTACTTGTACCGGATACGGTAATTGGTATCTTAACAACACCAATAATAATATCAGTTACAGTAACTGCATGTGGTCTAAAATTCCCACTGGAATTCTGCATGCCTTGAATCTTTCTGTGAGATGTCTCCCCACTGGACTTCTTGGCCTCCCAATCTTAAAGTCTTAGATCGCACATTGAAGCAGTAGGGGTCTCCTTGCCTTATCTTTATTATCAATATTGAACAAATTAAAAATCCAACGGGCAAAGCAAGACCTTTTTTGTTGGGTATGGTCATGTCTTCCATCTCTAAAATTTAATAAGCAATGGAATTGACTTCACAGAATTAAAATAATAAACATTTTGGGTGGATTTAACACTGGAACACCATAATTTATTTAATTGGAATAGATAGATAGATAGATAGATAGATAGATAGATAGATAGATAGATAGATAGATAGATAGAGCCCCAAATTACCTCAATATTTACTTGGTGCACACTTAAAGGTGGTAAGGTTTTACCATTTTACCTTAAAGGGATCAGTCAATATCTATACCTTAGGTAGATCAGTACCTGACCTTTTGCTGGACAAGGGGCTCAGCCTTTAGTGATTCGGTCCAGGCTGGCTTCACAAATGAAACCGAAACATGTGTCAGTAGCAAGTTGTTTCAACTATATTTATTTGCATTATAAGCCCCATCATGCTGATATAAAAAATAATTAGCATGCTGCAGCTGTATTATAGCTCTAGCCTGGCACATATCTCAGTAATGGGTTTGCCTTTGAGATGGAGATGCAAGAAGGGAGGGTGTGCTTATTGCTTTGGGGCTATCTGATCATTTTGTATCAGTCCACCCTGCTGACAAACGTTTGCTGGTCGCTATTAGAACTCTTTCTTCTGAACTACATGAATGTGTTGGCTTGTTAATCATTACTAATTCCATTGTATAACTCTGGATCATCAGAAATGTGTGGCCTCGTACCAGTGATATAGTCTCCCAGGATAATTTACTCTCTTCTTGGCTTCTTTGTTCCTTGTTGTCATTCTGACCCTTTTTTGCTGTTTGCCCCTGTAACCCCCATTGTGACTTAGGTGATGCATATCTCTGCCACCAAAGATGATGACAAACAGCAGCAATTCCACCCAGAAGTCCAGTGAGATTTTGATTCTTTTTTTTTAAAGTTTTGTAATTATATAGTACCAGTTTTTATATTGATTGCACTTTCTGACTTTAGGACAGTTGTGATCCCTCCTTAATTGCATTGGCCATTTTCTGAAAGGTTGTCTGGATTTGTTTTCTTATCCCCATATTGTCTCTTCTCTCACCAACAGTTGCGGGTGGAAACCACAGATGAAAGTGGAAAAACCATTGAAGGTCCAGTGGATTTAGAAGTCTTGGTTATCGATCAGAATGACAACCGACCGATCTTCAAGGAAGGTCCATACATTGGCCATGTTCTTGAAGGTTCTCCAACTGGTGAGTGTCAAACCAACCTTTAAATCCACACCTTAAAGCATCCTCCACCGGAAATGGCTTCTTAATAGCTGACTCTAAATCCTGAATGTAATATGTAATACTGCATGATCCTTCAAGTATGACATCTGTTGTGTATACAGTATAAGCATAGTAAGCACCATTCTCTGTTGCATTGATGAAACTTGGAAAGGATTTAGGAATATGTGGTTTTATTGGAAACAGAAAAAAGGTTATGGTAGAATGGTGGCTGTGGACATTCAAATATTACATAATCTTAACGGGCAATAAATAGGTTCTAAAACAAGCCCTCATTGTAGCTGCAAGAAACTCTAAAGGGGTTATTCACTATGGAGCAGAATGATCCAGCGGTAGCTTCGGCTGATCCTTCGGCTCTCTTCAGCCGCCTCTGCCCTTCAGATCAGTCGAACCGAAGGGCTGCTTTACGGGCAGTATAGCAGCCGAAGGCAGCTGAGCGGCTCGGCCGAGCTGAAGGCAGCTGAGCGGCTCAGCCGAGCCAAAGGCATATGCTTCGGCTTGACTGAACCAAAGTGACTGCAAAAGTGTAGTGAAAGGTCAGCCGAAGCCAACCGATCTCCACGCAAATTACAGCTGGGCGGTGCCAGCCGTGATATCATGTATGGCTCTGCCCAGTTGTAATGACAGATCAGTGTGCCCAAATGACCTGGGGACACTGACCTGTCATTAAACAATAACAACTCGATGGAGCAGGCCGTGAAGTCACGGCCAGCTCCGCCCAGATGTTATTCATTGGCCGGGACGTGCTAGAAGACTCTGGCAGGTGCCGGCCAACAGGAAACAGTTGGGTGGAGCTAGCTGTCACTGCTAGCTGCCACCACGGAGGTACCAAGCAGAATAGCGGCATTTGGCTATTCACTCACTGCCGTTCGGCCCCTATGAGAATAGGGGCGAACGGCAGCGAGCGAGCTAACAGAGCTTCGCCTCAGACAATCTAGATGTTGGATCTGTAGGATCTTACTGAAGTGCAGCCGAAGGCAGCCGCTGTACGGCTGATTTTAGCTGAAATCAGCCGTACAAGCCAGAAGTGAATAGTCGAACAGCGTTCGGCTCACTTTACTTCGGCTGGGTTATTCACTTGGCTGCCTTTGGCAGCTTTGTGAATGACCCTGTAAGACTTTGAAAACGCTTTGATGCTTTTTAAAAAAACAAAAAGAGAGAAAAATTAGGATTTCCACTGCAGCTAGGTTGAAGGGATCATTTACTATTTGTACTGTACCGGCCCTTTTAATATTCCTTCTTTGCTCAATGCAAGTCTACCAGTGAGGTCTAACTTATTAAATGCAAAGCACCCTTCATGTGAATGAGAGTTTTATCTCTGCAGTTGTTGGAGAAACTGACTGTTCACATACAAAACTGTTAAAAATTACATTAAAGTGAACCTTGCTTTAATAACTCATTATATGTGTTCACTGAATATACATGGCACTTTCCCTTTAATTGCCGCTCTGTTTGGAAGAACAGAGCCAATGTTCTGCGCTGACTTTGAGCTGTTACCTTAATACGAGGTTTATGTCTCCGGAGTAATTAGCAGCCTCCTCTCGGTGAACCATGCTTTCATGGCCCCGAGCAAATTAAAAAGAAGACAGTAAGACTATTGCTACATTAAACATAAAGATGGATCCAGCTTGCATTAGAAAGTCTTCAGTAGCCTGGAAGCAATTTTAACATCTGTTACTAGCATGACACACAGGAGAATTCCACTGATCAGTCTTTTAAAAGTAAGATGAGACAAGACTGAACCTATAAACAGTTATATCTGTCTACAGCACCATGATGAACAGCAGCAGAGCTGTGACCGCAAAGATCAAAGGTGGTGTCTTCTAAGGGGGAAGGATGAAAGAAGCTTCTCACCTCTTGGACCTTTACTGCTTCTTGTTGCGGTTTATAAAGAACATTTCACTCTCTGCTTTTATCATTATTTTAAAGGTCAGCTCCGGTCACATCTCCCTAGTATTCCACCAAAGCTGTGTTTCATTTTTTCTTACCCTTTTTTGAAATCTCAAGGCCAGTCACGTGATGCACAGGGTTGTGTTCCTCTTTGAATCTTTTCCTGGAGGTGGGTTGTCCTCCATGATGTAGCGTCTTCATAGCTAAACTGTGAGTGTAGGGCACCTTGGGTCCATGACACCCTACACTCAAATTATTTCCTTGGTCTTACTCAGAAGACTGAAGGCTTACTGTGAGTGTTGGGTATTGTTGTAGAAGATCTTAGACCACTGTCTTTGAGCGGTGAAAATATAATCCAACATTTTTGAATATGGCACTCTAACAGCAAAAGTGCTGAGAGTGCTGAGTGCAAAAGATCGTCTACATTTCTGATATGTATGTATACCATTTTGACTATTTATGCAAATAAGCGGAATAATACCCTTTATTAAAAACCAACCAAACCCGCCCAACCCTCTAGACATCCAAACTCCTGAGAATTTGCAGAAGATAGTCATAACAAGCTCAGTTGGTTGCAAGATAATCCAGAGTCTCCTGGAATCTCTCTTGCTTGTTCCCACATTACAAAAAGCACCTTTCACGTGCCCACACATTCTTGTTAATTAACTCTCTGCAAGGTTAGATGATCTGAAGTAGGACAGGCCATGACACCCAGTCCTGTAGCCTTACTAGAGCCATGTAAGTTCCTGAAAGATCAACAGGTATTTTAACGTACTTCTAAAGTGTTTAAAGGGATACAACATGAGGAAATGTGCATGTATTGTAGAGATATACTGCATGTGTTTTTTATTTGGTCATTTGGTCCACCCTCATACATTTGCTGTCCAGTTTTCCCCATGTTTAATCTAGGGGGTAAGAAATAAAGTGAAATACTTCCACAGGCCTCCACCCTGCCATATGACCAGTACCATGAAGCAACTACTATTTGCCACTTGTACAGTTGTAGTCTATCCAATATCATCATGTACAATTGTATTTGAGGCAATATTGTTGGTTAGCCCTCATCAAGGAGGTGGAGGACACCAGAGTGGAAAATCAACCACCTCGGGAACGAGGAGTAAGGTAAGTATTTCATCTTATGCATTCCCCCTAGACTAAAGAACATTTAACCCCTGCTAAAGTGGAACATTTTCAGTGCTGACTGGAGAATGATCAGCTTCAAGTCTTGGCTTCAAGGCTGTAGTAGAGGGTGCATTTTGGGACTTAGGTCTACATAGTGCAGGCTTTGCATTTTTACTTGTTCTTGGCACCAAAATAACCACACACACAGTGAAAATAAATAGAATAGAAACAAGTCATCATGTTCCCTTTACCCAAATAAAAAGAGAGAAAACAATGCTTGCAGCCGAATTAAATACACCCTCTCTCATTCCCACCTAGAACAGGCAGAATAGCTGAAAATCTGTTTCCCCAATTACTACAATTTCCTGAAAGCGGTTTATTTTAGCGAGAGAACACCATTCAAGGGAATAGATAAATATCAGAACATAATTACCAGGTATGAAAGGGAAACAGACCAGCTTTCAGAACACAGTGTTAACAGGCTGGGGTGTTTTGACAGCCAGATGAATATCTCCCAGACCAGAATGGAGGAGGCTGAATGCGAGAGGCAAAGGTCTGCCAGGCCAGCCCACACAATAGGTATCGATAAGTGTTCCTAGCAAATAATTATACATTGTTTTCTTTCCCAGCAATATACGAATGACGTTCTCATTCATCTCTGTTTTCCCTCGGAGTGTAAACATTTAATTAGCGGCGGTATGTTTTATTTAGACCTTTTAATATAGCCGTGCATGCTCAATAATCCACGATGACAGGCTGTAATTCCGGCAGAAAACATGCCTTCAATGAAAGTCAAGCAGTTTTTATTTATATGTGGTATGTTGATGAATATAAACCATTTAGCTGTTTTTCTATTTTGTTGTTTGCATGGGCTACCCATAGTCGCTAGATAATGTTCCTGCCAGTTATTTTAGAGGAAAATGGTAGTACCCAAGGATGGTTTTCTAACTGACCAGAACAATGTTCTCCCCCATAAAGATTTTGGCCAGTGGGCATTGGCATCAGAACTCAGCGCTCATGTTAAAATCTCACGGTAAATCATTTTCTCTGAGGGTTGGGGTTTAGTGGAAAGCAGAAATGCAATGGGCATCCTGTTTTCAGCACCACATGCAGTTAAAGGGTATCGAAACCCAAAACCAATAATGTCATACTGTATATTACAACTTAGCAGTCCTTTTGTAATTCTTTTCCCCTTTGTTTTTACCTGTAAATTATGCACATAACACTTTATACTTTATATATTCTTGTCTACACTAATTTCTTCACCGTATCTATGGAGACAGCATTGTTCTGTCAGAGCACAATGAAAACCAGACAAGCAAAAGGTGCTAGTTAAAATATTTATTAAGAACAGTGTCCACAAGAGCAAGCAGAATAATAAACTGTAACAAGCCAGAGTCCGGAGCCGGAGTGGGTAGTCGTCCAAGCCAGGTCAGGAACACAGAGATCAGCGTCATCAGAAACAAGCCAGGAGCATGAGCCAGAGGAGAACGTCAGCCAGGATCGGGTCATACACAGAATCAGGATACTCAGAGCAGCAGGAATGCACTAGCAGTAAGACCACGCAAGGGCAAGGTCAGACTGGACTGAGTGGTTTATATATAATGAGTGAGGTGACATCATCACTCAGAGACAGGAAACTCCCATCTGACTCTCTCAGATGATGCTCTCCTGTCTGGCCATAAGAGGTAGCCTGGGAATAGTGAGCAACGTTCCAGAGTCTGCTCAGGCAAAGAAGGAAACACAGGTGAGTAAAATGGCAGCCAAGCCAGAAAGCTGCAAACCAGTAAAGTCAGGGTGGAACCCTGACATGTTCATCACCCAGGATGGACTTCAAACATGTCGTCTGCCTTTGTTCATCTTCATCCCATGGTGGAATGATGGGACTAGCCATGTACACAAGAAAGATAAGGATGCTTATGCTTTGTTTTCAGCTCACAGGAAGTGACAAG